ATGTCCTCTGTACTTTCTCTACATTGTGTCTACATTGTTATCATCCATCCTTAATTGCTCTTTCCAGTTTTTCCTGTAGATTCTTGGAAGATGTTGTAAAACACCTTGAGGCTAATTTGTGATTGTATTATTGGGCTGGAAAAATAAAGTTGAAGAGAGGTTGGGATGTAACATAAACAAAAAATATTAGTCTATCTTTGTCCAAATATGTTCAGGACAAAAGCTTTTTTCTTTTTTTAGCAGGAAAAAAAAGCACATAACACATCATTTATCTAACTGACCTAAAGGACTGGTCTAACGTCTGGAGCGTCCGCAAAATGGACAATACAGGCCACCAGATCAATACGGCTTAGCAGAATAGACATCATTGATTGGTGATTGATAGCCATGTATGAGGACGGGAGAAAGAGAGCGTGTGTATTCTCCAGAGAAAGGACACACTGTGATAACTGACTGATGATGTGACACAAAGCTGCAACACGCCTGCTCGCTCAGGACACAGATGATCTTAGACCTGAGATGGTGTTTGAAATGTGTAAAACTAAAGAAAGAAAGAAAAGAACGTTTTAGAATATTTTTGCTGTGTAAATGGATGTAATAGTGAGCATGAAATGCAGGTTTAAATGTCCATATGTTAAGAAAGGTCTACTAAAAAGGCTGTAATTGTATAAGAACATAGGAGGTTCCCATCAAGTGTGTATGAAGAAGTTTATAAATAATCCAAACTGAACCTCACAAATCAGTGTGTTGATTGGATAGCTGTTAGCAACTCCTCCAAAATGTAAGGTTGAGCAATTTTAAAGAAATGGCAAACATAAGGTCAAGATATATATAGAGCCTCTTTAAAAATGCATTTTCTGTATCTGTTCTCTAAGCGTAGGTGCGCTTCTCATAACAAGTTATTTTTTCTGGAAACCTACCCGACGACACAAAAAGAAGTCCATAAGTAAGTAGACTGTTGGTTTTGACAATGCGACAGGTCTGTTTGCTGTGAGGTAGTGTGGTCGTCTACCAATCAGAAGGTTGGATCTAGGCCCATGCATGTCAGTGCAAGATATTTACGGGGTATGGGTTGAAAGGTGGCAAAAGCACTATACAAATTCAGTCCATTTAGTTTTCTGCAATAGACACTCAAGTCAAATTTATATATGAAAGTCTAAGATCGCAACTTTGGCTCAAAGGACTTTTGTAATAGACACTACACTGTCTGTCCTGAGACGCTTAACTTTTAAGAGACTTTATTAGTATTTTTAACGTTCCCGAAAGATCAACAGAGGAGTGTTCACTCTTATAGGAATGTGATACACTGTGCTGGTTTAGCGGCAACTTTGCAATAAAAAGGTGATCATTTTTATACATTAATAATATCTTCCTCTACACACTAACACCCGCACACATGCCTACACACACAAACACCGACACACACAGCGAGCCTGCTGCCTGTGTCACTTAAACATGGTCCTGGTCCAGACTGATTAATTGCATTTAATAATTCACAGCTGAACTTTAGTGGGAGTCACTTCAGTGTAGCGATAGAGGTTGTGTGTGTGTGTGCGTGTGCGTGTGCGTGTGCGTGTGTGTGTCAGGGAGAGGTTGAATCCCCACAGGGTAGGAAGGCAATTAGCTGCTTTCTCTCTCCAAGTGCTATCCAATGATGGCGAAATGTACACACACATGTACACCCACACACATGTACACCCACACACATGTACACCCACACCCACACGTACACACACACACACACACACACACACACACACACACCCAGCCCAAGTATCACCGCTGTGGCTGTTACTGTATGTGCGTCTGTGTTTAAATGTTTGCTTTTTTTTATCTTTCAATTTAAATACTAATATTTTTGTCCAATTCAACATTATTTTAACATTTTAATTTCTTTTTTTCTGATCAATGATCAGCTTGTCCAAGCAAAAAGGCAAATCAAATTGTGTTTTTTAATTCACATTAAATCTTACATAAACAAAAGCGTACAAAGTTGTCACTGTGTAATATACGGCAGCAAGTTCTTTTTTCTGAAGTTGGTTATGGATAATTGCAAAAAAAAAATCCATTTGTGTCACTGAAAGCAACTTTTCCGAGTCAGTACTACCCTCTCACGCCTTCTCTTCAAATCTCCTTTTCTCTTCCCCCTTTTTCTTCCACATCTCAGTTTCTCTTCTTAGCCCCCCCACCCCCCCAACAGTGCCGGTTCTTTCTCCCTCTCTCCCCCGACTCTGTGGCAAATGAGCTCGTTTCCTGAG